ACCCAGGGCACAGCCTCTCAGGTTAGAGTCTTTACCACCAGATCCCTTCACCCTTAACCCACATAACAGCCCCTCTCTGTGGGTCCTCCCCATGGACAGTGGTCACCCAGGCCCTGGAGATGCTTCAGGAACACAGAGGTCCCTGTGTCTGCAAGAGCTCAGATCAGCAGGGACACAGTTTCCTCCTCACTGTGCAGTTCAGGCGAGCGTCATTGTGACAATGAGCACAAAGGACAGACACAGGGAAGTGAGGGAAAGACACACACCCCTTTCCCAGGCCCCAGAGTGAGGCTTTCTTTGTATCGCAGCCACCCTCACCCACTTCTCATTTCTTCTTAGCAACAAAGTCCACCCACCTTCCTGGGGACAAGCCTCTGAGTGATCCCTGCCCCCTCAGTGCCCCTTATTTCCTGGTTCAAGTCTCCTCCTCATGCTGTGGTTCTGCCTTCAAGCTTCAGGGGACACTGATGTGGGTTACAGTCCTGATTTTTACTTAAAGCAGATGTTTACTTAAATACTCATCATCCAATGTCCATGTGTCCTTGACTGGTAATGTCCTGTCTCTGCCTCAGTCCCCCTGAGGGATTCTGGATAATGCTGCTACAAATCCCAGTCCCCACAGTGGTTGTGAGTCAGTGGATCTGGTTCATGGGAGGGAGACTTCCATTTCCAGATGAGATGAAGACGTGAGTGGACTGGGACATGAGAGGATCAATATGTCCAGGGCCAAGGCAAGACGATTGGACTTGCTCGAGACCATGTCTGCTCTGAATACCAAGCCCAGCTACTCGCAACAGCTCTAAAGTATGTAGGCACAGACACGTGAAGGAAAGAGAAATGTTCCCAAATAGAGAGGAAACCACAGTGGAGAAGAGAGACTGACACTGAGTGGGCCCAGTAATCAGGACTATCCACGAGTCATAGGGAGGAAATCCCCCCCTGAGTGGACAGAGAGGGACCCCAGATCCTCAAGGGAAGGGGAGCAGGGAGCAGGTGAAGGCTGGAAATGTGGCTCCTGCCCCCTGTTTCAGTGGAGGCTCTGGGATGTCTCTGCCCACTCACCCAAGTTAATGGTCAGCAGTAAGCAGTCTCCCCATGTGTCCTATAACAGACTGAGTCCAGTATGTCAGCCATAGGTGTCTGTCCCGTGTATGTGTGAGGCTCCCATTGGACCACCCTGGTGGGCAGGACGCTGAGTAGATGCTGAAACTGAGAGAGAGAGTGGCAGGAGATAGGGAGTCACAGCCCCTGCTCAGCGTGGCTTCCAGGACAGCCCTGGAGAATCTGAGGGAGACCAGGTGTGTGAGAGGAGAAACTTCCTATAGGAGTGAACAGTAGAGAAATCCTAATAGTGACAGACAGTTCTATGGACACCATTTGTTGACACTGGGGAATGTCACATGCAATGAAAGAGAATGAGTAAGAAATATGAGACCAATGGGAGATGATCAGGTGTAAATATCTAAAAAATAAAGGCAAGATTCAAATTCTGAGCCAATAATATGAATTGTTTTATGTAGGTGAACATAATGATTTAGAAACCTTAGAGATGAGAAAACCCAATAGATGGACACATGAAAGTAATTCTTCCCATCAAGGATGAGGCAGAGCTCAACGGTTATTTATGACAAAGGAGTACAATACAGAGGAAATTTCCAGAATGCAGCACAGAGAGACCAGAAGTGGAGACTGAAGGTACTTGGGGACTAGAGTGAGGAGGGTGGACATCATATGTATGGTGTCAGAAAGAAGTGAGTGTGACATTTGGTAACAGGTCAAGAGATAAATAATCAAACATTTTACTGAGATGAAGAAAGACCAATCTAGTGTTAGGGGGCAGGTACATAAAAATGAAATCTGTATCTTCACTTTTTGTGGTTAATGAAGATAATGAAAGTCAAATAAAAACACAAAAACATATCCTACACCCAATTTTATGCATCAGAAATGGTTCATTTGAGGCCCTAGCTGGGTCGCTCAGTGGGTTAGAGCATCATCCCAATATCCAAGGTTGTGGGCTTGGTCCCCAGTCAGGACACACACAGGGAGCAAGCAGTGGATGCCTCATTAAGTGGATCAACACCTGATGGCTTCTTCTCCTTTTCTGCCCCACCCCTCAAATCAATAAATAAAAAATATTTTTACATGGTTGATTTTATTTTAATGTGAATTTCAACTCAAAAATAAAATCATAGAGGACTTGCCTGAGGTCCTAAAAAGTCCTAAAATTATTTTCTAGAGGAAGTGCACATCACCATAGTGACAAGCTCGCTGGGACCAGGCGTCCTCATAGCAAAAAAGACACCATAACACAGTGTGGACACACATTCCAGGAGCATATTGTCAGTGAAGATTGTGCACTGAGCCCCATTAGCTTTAAGTAACAAGGTGAACATGTCAGCCAGGCCAGTCCCTAAGTGGGAACCTGTGTCTCCTCCCAACCCCAGCCTGTGAGGCTGCATCTCCAGGAGAGAGAACAGATTTCTGGGAAGAGAGCCAGAAATCTGTTCTCTGTTTTCTCTACAAGGAGTTGAATCACACACTTTCACTGGAATAGTAAAGTGTTTTCTGGTTCCTTGATAAAACAAATGAGCCTGAAACAAAGGCATTTCCAGAGAAGCAAGTTTTTAGATATTTTCATATTTTCACACTTGGTGAAAGGAATAGAAAGTGATGTAATTCAGTTAGAAGAACAATGACACCAAACTGGAGAAAGTGAGATGCAAGAGTGAGGGAAAGTGGCAAAAAATAATTTAAAAATACAGTTTAAATCTATGTTGTGACTCAGACACTTATATAATATTTTATGTCAACTTTATTGAGAGGTAAAACTTATCATAAAAGAGGGAAAGGAGATCACATGCTACACGGATGCATCTGAAGGACAAGTAAAAGGAACAATCACAGAACAACAAAACAAAACAAAAGCTACATGCAGATTTGTCAACCCCATCAGAATTACTACTGGACTACAGAAAAAACATCATCCAGAACTTCTTGCATTCTAGCTGAACAGAAGTCCCACAGCTAAGGGTGCAAAGAAGAAGCCACATGGAGACTAGGAGACACAAAACGGGCTGCTCCCACACCCACATGTGGTAGACAAGAGTCAAGAGGGAGAGCTGTTGAGTCAGGGGACGGCTGGAGTCCCAGGCAGTTCCACTGACAGGACCCACACATAGACTTATTCAGACTCACTCCCTCTGAGCTCCAGTCCTGGGGAAGCAGCTTGAAAGAAAGCAGGGATACACAAGGATGAACTGAGTTGTCTGGCCTCAGGGCAAGAGGTAGGGGGATAACTTTCTGCCAACAGAGGTATTGACACAAGATATGGTTCCTTTGATGGGCCCTCCCTACACAGCTTGCAGGCAAGTGCTATACCTGAGTCTGTATCTACCTGGATAACATTCTTCCTACCACTGTGGTGACTCTCTGAGACTGCACCACACACAACTCAGAAGTCCACCCAAGCTTTCTGTTGTGGCTTTTCCATACAGGTGGCCTCTGTTGCCTCATACTTCACACTTCCCTGAAAACTCTCAAAGCAGTAGCACCTGAACCCTAATCAATGTCCTTGTGAATGGTGCCCATGTACACATGTTCTCTAAGGCAGGTACTTAAAGGTAGAGCTGTGTGACTCTAACTGGGTAAGTGTAACGTATCCACTCAGTTGGTGACTATAATTTGCACTCCTACAAGTGATGCATTAGAATTCCATCTGCTCACTGTTCTCTCCCCCAAGGGATAGTAGGATTTTCCCCTCGGCATCTCACCTGGATGCACTGGGATTGTGGTCTCTACTTTTGTGGAAAATCAGTTACAACACTGAAGTAGAAATAGCCATTACACATAAAAGGGAAGGCAGCTTAGGTGCACTCTGGGGCTGTCAGACTGGTGTGACTGGTGTCCCACCCTGGCCTGTACAGTCTGTGAAAGTCAGTTTGTGAGTCACTTCCCAACTCTGCATCAGAACCTCACAGAGGTACCTCCAAGTTGGCCACAAAGAAAACATACATACCAGAAATGGGAAAATGCCAAAAAAACAGTGTTTTATTAAGTGGAATTCAATTAATCAGTAATAAAATTATGTAGTTTTCAATGTACAATTCTCTAACACATTATTTGTACACTGCACTGTGTTTTTAACAATGGGTTGTTCTCAGGCAGTGCAACTCAGCTGATCCCTTCAAACAAAAATGGTTTGATTTACCCCAGGCTGGTGTGGCTGAGTTGGTTGGAGCATTGTCCCATAACCAGAAGTTTGTTGTTTCCATTCCCAGTCAGGGCACAAACCTAGATTGCAATTTCCATCACCTGTCCAGGCACATATGGGAGGCAATGAATCAATGTTCATTTCTAACATCTGTATTTCTCTCACATCCATATATCTCTTTCTCTCTTCTACCTCTCCAAAAAAAGGAACATAAATATATTTACTTCCAAGGATACAACAATAGCCTTGATTCCGAGTGAAGAGGTTCTTGGGGAAAGTCCACAGGTGCCATCTGAGGAAAGGTGAAGGCACATGGGGTCCAGAGAGGGTGCTAGGGCATCATTTGAGACTTATCTCTTGTGGTCTGAATGTTTGTGATGCCAGCTCATGGATTCATTAAAATAGAATGCATGCTGTGAACTGAGTGGATGGGCACTTCATATGAACCTTAAGGCAGCTGTAATTAGAAATAGAGAAGAACAAGTTTTCTGAAAGTGCAGGGAGGTGTGGACGTGACCATGCCATGTGGGATCAATGCTAATTTAACTGAAATGGGAAAAGGTAGGAACCGGTCACATGACTCAACAGTGGTTGGGAAAGGATGGGCTGAATTTAATGGAAGAAGTATCTAGACCTTCTCCTCCTGCATATGACTAAAGTGTACTCCACATGCAGTGAGCTTAATACAGGTCACACAGCATGTCCCAGATTATCTTCCACAACCTTGTGGGGACATGACTTCATTTCTAAGGTTCTTACTCTGACCTGTGCTCCTTTACCTCTGTGTTCAGGTCTTGGCGGCAGCCTGGGCCATTCTCTCACTGTCTCGAGCCTGAAACAGCAGGACCCCGAGGACCACCAGGACCAGCAGAGCCACGTCCATGTGGATGAGATTCCCCACTGTGTAGTCTTGGGGGTGGGAGTCTAGGAAATGTGGACAAAGATGTCACAGAGGTCATAGCAGACAAAGTCATCCCCCCGATCCTGGATGCCCACCCAGCACATTAGTCTGACCCTGACAGACAGGACCCTCTGCACCCAGCCCCACAACTGAGGATTCTCCTACTCACTGCTCGTGTTATCTGAGCTGTTGTGTGATGGGCTGATGGTGTCAGCTGCTCCTTGAAAACCATAAAGACATGGGCGCATGAGGAGTAGATGCCACTCAAGCCAATTGTTCTCAAAACTCACCCATTCCTCATGATGTGAGTGTTTCCAGCCCCTTCGGGGACCCTCTCTCTGCTATGAGGGTCCTGTCTGCTGTCATGGGTCCTGTCAGTCTCCCAAGGACTTCTGAGTGCACACTTTGCTCCTGAGGCCCTTTGGGACATAGGTTGGCTTTGCCCCAAGAATTCATGTTTGGTGAGAAATGTGGTCTCTCATTACAGAACAGAGGACATTCTTCTAATCCCCCTGTTCACTGTGGGAGACTGAACCATCCAAGATCACTCTTGTGGAGATGAGAGTGTATATTTGTTCAGCAGCTGAGGACTCAGGCTCAATGGGTAGTCTCATTTGTACACACAGATATAAATGGGGTACTCGAATAATTCCGGAGATGTATGTATAGACAATTTTATGAAAAATACTTCAAAATGTATCTAAAGTCTAAAACAAATCTTGTAAAGCATCTTTATTTTTTTAATTTCTTTTTAATAAAATATTGTTTTTCTTTTAAAAATTATTTATTTATTTATTTATTTTTGAAATCAGAAAGAGAGGGAAACATAAATGTGTGGTTTCCTCTTGAGCGCCCCCTATTGCAGACCTTACCCACAATCCAGGCACGTGCCCTGACTGGGTATCAAATCAGTTACCATTTGATTTGCAGGCTGGCACTCAATCTACTGACCCACAGCAGCCAGGTCAAAAGGTTACTTTTCATAATAAAGGGATAAATTTAACATAATCACTGTGAAAATAGGAGTAGATTTACCTTTTTAAAGTCAGAAATATCTATAACTTAAATTTACATATAGAAGCATTGCTTTACATTTCTCAGAAAACATGCCACGATAGAGGTGTGGGCAGACATGTAGAGAGCAGACATGAATTTCACAGCGTATCTGGACAGGAACCCCCAGTTCCTCATGAGCCATCCATAGCCCCCTACACTTAACCTGAGTCTCATGTGAGCACTGAGTGCTAAGGCCTCCAGGTGAGCCCAGGGGTGTGCAGTGATGTCCACAGGTGGGGGCACTTCTCCCCATAGGAGAGTGTCCAGAGGGGACTCCACCATCCCCCACAGCAGCCCCGCCTTGGCCCAAGCCACCTCTTGCCCTGCTCTGGGAGGGTTCAGGGACTCCCATACAGGTTGGTGAGTCCACTAAAGGTCTCTGGAAATGAGGTGCCAAGGGAGAGCCTAACTGTCCTCTTTCCAGCCCTCCTGACTTCTCCTCCTCCATAGCCCAGCTATCTTCCCTGTATTACAAGACAGACTTGGACACCAAATTCTGCACACTGACACCAGGCATACTATTCAGGGGCTTAGGCTTTTGGTGGAAAATCCCACAGATTCAGTGTGGCAGCAGGAAGTTGGCACCCTCACTTGGAATTTCCTAATCCTCACAGTCTCCCTGATATGAAGGCTTCTGCTTGCTAAGCTGAGTCCACAGTCTGGGTGGACCTGCTCCTCCACACATCTGTCTCCCTGAGCTGTTTCATCTGTACAAGGTCCCAGTTACTAGGACAAGCAGGACAGGCCTAGAGAGGGCGGGACCAGGAGCAGTTGCCACTTTTTCAGGTGCCCAGAAAGTCAGAAATGGGCATGCCCCTGCGGTTCCTAGTGAGGCAGCTGTCCTTTACTCAGGTGGGGAAAGATCTTCAGAGCTCACCTCCCTGGGCAGGTGAGTCCACACACACTCTGCCCTCTATCCTGGGGGTCCTGCCTGTGGGGTGTGCGTCTGGAGAGCAGCGCTGCTCTGGTTCTGAGATGGAGACACCAGAAGGCAGTGGGCTGGGACTCTGTCCTCTACTCCAGTCCACTCTCCCTTGCCTCTTGGCGTCACCATCCAGCAAGGTTGTCTCCCTCCCTTGTTCAGCCTTGTCTCAGCCTACAGGGTCAGGAGGTGCCAGGGGTGGGAGTGCCCACCTGCTTCCACCTCTCACAGGATGACCCTTCTCTGTGGAGCCACCTGGCACTCCCATCATGCCTTAGACTTTCCTGAGGACAGGGCCCACAAGTGACCTTGCAGCCAGAAAGGACAGGTCCAGGGGCAGCTCAACTGAAACCAGGAGCTCTGGGGCCAGAAACTAGATGACATCCTGACCCCAGGGTGCCATGGCAGCCTTTGCCACTGCATCCCAACCACAGGTCATATGCCCAGGTTAGGTAGTGGAGGGCAGAGGCTGCCTTCTGCTGACGTGAGCTGGGCTGCTCCTCTGTTCAGCTGGGCTCCCAACATCTCCCTCCACCATGACCACCTCTCCTGTCACCTGCCTCCCTTACCCCTGGACAGGCCTCACTGGGCTGGGTTGAAGGGCAAACCATCAGAGACCCTGGAGCCTCGTGGCTCCCCTGAAATTTCTACCTACTGACACTCAGAGCCCCAAGACACTAGCCTGACCTTGAATATCTGAGTGACATTAGATCCTCGGAGAGACTCAAAGACCAGACCAATGGCTGGTCTTTGTCTGTAGACAAGGAGCCCCTGTGCTCCCCTCACCCCACCCTTCACATGGGGCTCCCCTCCCAATCCCCTGTCTGGTGCCTCACTCATGGATGGGAACAGTATGGGACTCACCTCTGACCAGGAGCTCCAGGGGGTCACTGGGTGGTGACCACAGCTGGGGGGTGTGCCTGTAATAAGCATAGCATCTGAAAGTCCCACTCTGTCTGGGGATCACAGGGCCCACTGGGAACAGGGCCTGAAACTGCCCACTGGGGTGTTGCTGTGAGTCCAGCGTCCAGGAGAGCCTGTCTTCTCCTTCCTTAGTCAGAATGAACCTGTCAAGATCCTGCCGTGAGCCACACTGGAGGGTCATGTTCCCTCCTGAGGTCACAACAGGGCTGGGCAAAGCTGAGAGTTTGGGTTTGTAGTAAAATATGCCTAGGACAGAAGGGGGCAGCATATTAAATGGAGCTCACACATGTCTCACACCCCCCAGGGCACGGTTGGGTGAGGGGGAGATCCCTGAAGAAAGTCCCCCTTCCTGAGGGCAGAGCCTGAGACCAGGAAACCTGAGTGTCCTCTCACCTGTCACCACCAGCTCCAGGGGGTGACTGCTTTCTGACCAGACATGTTGGCTGAGATAGTAACACTGATATCTCCCTGCAGAGCACTCTGTCATCTGTGTGATGGGAAACTTGGTCTCGTACCTGGGATTTAGTGACTTCTGTTTGAACCAGGGCTCTGAACTTCCATCTTTATACAAATGGTACTCCTCAGCTTGTAGGGTTCCCTGAGACCAGATGGTCACTGAGGTCTCCCAGGGGATCACAGCACCTGGCTCAGCCCAGAGGGTCAGTTTGGGGAGGGTCAGTTTGGGGAGGGTCCCTGAAAGAAATAAAAGGCTGAGTCTGAACATTCCTTACCCCAGTGCCCATCTCTCAGCCCCCAACATCTCAGATGTCCTTCATCTATTGTCCCAGAAATGCAGTTCTTCATCCTCAACTTCCAAGGACAGGTCCCCAGTGGGGAGTAACACGTGAGAGCCTTGGTGACAGACTCACCTGCCTGCACTGGGGTCCTCAGGCCCATGCTCAGCCCTGCAAGAGAGTCCCTGTGAGAGATTTTCTCTGAGTCCTAACCAGAACCCTCCTCCCAGGGAGCCTCCCAAGTCCTGGGGTCCTGACAGAGCAGGGTTTCCCTTCCCCTCACATCTCACCCAGGCAGAGCAGGGCCGCAAGGGTGTGGGGCATGGTGTCTCCTCTCTGAACTCAGCTGTGCAGAAGGAAGAGACCACGGAGTCCTCAGAATAGACAGCCTCACAGGGTGTGGTCACTGGGAGGCTGGCTGTCCCTATCGTGAGGTTGTCACATCAGTAGCTGAGCAGAAAGAGAGACGGAGTCTCCTCAGGAATCTGACCCTTATTCCCATGGTGGAGGTAGAAATAGATGCTCAGACTCCTGAGGCAACCCTTCCAGGTGAGGTGACCCAGGACATGGCCTTCCAGGTCCTCCTCCATGAGGTCTCCTTCACCCTCAGCCCAACCATCAGCCTGTCCTAGGCATCCTCCGCATGGACAGTGGTCCCCCAGGCCCTGAAGACATGCCAGGAAGACGGGGGTCCCTGTGCCTGAGGAGCTCAGCTCAGCAGAGACACAGTCTCCTCCCCACTGTGCAGTTCAGGTGAGTGTCACTGTGACAATGAGCACAAAGGACAGACACAGGGAAGTGAGGGAAGGACACACGCTTATTCCCCTGGCCCCAGAGTGAGGTCTTCTTTCTATCCCAACCACCCTCACTGACTTCTCATTTTTTTCTTAGCAACAGCGTCCATCCACCTTCCTGGGGACAAGCCTCTGAGTGATCCCTGCCCCCTCAGTGCCCCTTGTTTCCTGGTTCAAGCCTCCTCATGCTGAGGTTCTTCCTGCCTTTAAGCTTCAGGGGACATTAATTTGGCTTAGAGTCCTCATTTTTACTTACAGCAGTTACTTATTTAAATAACCATCAACCATTGCCCAAGTGATCTGTGTGCTATTGTCCTATCTCTAATGCCCAGTTTCCTCACCTGAATCCTATAGTCACAAAGCCCAGTCCCTACAGTGGGTGTGGGTCAGTGGTGCTGGTTCATGGGAGGGAGACTTCCATTTCCAGACAGATGATAATGTGAATGGGCTGGGACATAAGAGGATCAAGGTTTCCAGGGTCAAGGGCAGGATTGTAGCACCCACAGGAGAACTTGTATCCTCTGAATACCAAGCACAGCTACTCATATATAGGCACAGACATGTGCAAGAAAGAGAAATGAAAGTTCCCCAAAAGGAGAGGGAACCACAGTGGGGAACAGAGACTGAAACTGAGTGACCTCTAGTGACCAGGACTATCCATGAGTCATAGGGATGAGATCTCCCTAAGTGGACAGAGAGGGACTTCAGGTCCTAACAGGAAGGGGAGTCAGGGAGCAGGTAAAAGCTAGGAGTGAGGTGCCTGCCCGATGTTTCTGTGTGGGCTCTGGGATGTCTCTGCCCACTTACCCAAGTTCATGGTCATCAGTGAGCATTTTTTCCTGTATGTACTGACACAGACTGAGTCCAGTACGTCACCCATGGGTGTCTATCCTGTCTGTGCAAGTGAGGCTCCCATTGCACAAGCCCTGGTGAGCAGAATGCTGAGCAGATGCTGAGTATGAGAGAGTGGACAACATGGGGCAGGGGCAGCTGCCACAGCCCCTGGTCAACCTGACTCTCAGAAGAGCCCCTAAGAAACTGTGGGAGATCAGGTGTGTGAGGGGAGAGACTCCTACAAGAGTGGACAGTGGAGAAATCCTAATGGTGACAGACAGTGCTATGGATGCCATCTACTAACACTGGGAACTGTCACACACAATGAAAGAGAGTCAGTAGAAAATATGAGAGTAATGGAAGATGATCACGTATAAATACCTGAAAAATAAAGGGAGGATTCAAATTTTGAGTCAGTAATATGAATTGTTTTATATAGATGAATATATGAGTTAGAAATCTTAGAGATGAGAAAACCCAATAGATGGACACATGAAAATTATTCTTCCCATCAAGGATGAGACAGAGCTGAAGGGCCATTTGTGACAGTGAAGTACAGTATAGAGGAAATGTCCAGAATGCAGCATAGGGAGACCAGATATGGGGACTGAAGGCACTCAGGGACTAGAGTGAGGAGGGTAGACATCGTATGTATGGTGTCAGAAAGAAAGAAGTGAGCTTGACATTTAGAAACAGCTCAAGAGGGAAACAATCAAACATTTTACCAAGATGAAGAATGACTAATCTAGTGTTAGGAAGCAGATATATAAAAATGAAATCTGTATCTTGACCTTTTGTGGTTAATGAAAATAATGAAGGTCAAATAAAAACACAAGAATGTATCCTACACCCAATTCTACGCATCAGAAATGATTCATTTGAGACCCTGGCTGGGTCACTCAGTGGGTTAGAGCATCATCTCAATATCCAAGGTTGTGGGCTTCGTCCCTAGTCAGGACACACACAGGGAGCAATCAATGGATGCATCAGTAAGTGGATCAACATGAAGTTTCTCTCTCTCTTTCTCTCTCTCTCTCTGCTCCACCACTCAAATGAATCAATAAAAAAATTTTAAATGATTAATTTTGTTTTAATGTGAATTTCAACTAAAAAAATCATGAAGGACTGACCTGAAGTCCTAAAAAGTCCTAAAATTGCTTTGTAGAGGAAATGCAAATCACCATAGTCACAAGCTTGCTGAGACTGGATGTCCTCATAGCAAAGAGGACACCAGACGACAGTGGGGACACACATTTCAGGAGCAGATTGTCAGTGAAGATTGTGCACTGAGCCCCGTTAGCTTTAAAGGGCAAGGTGAAGGTGTTAGCCGGGCCAGTCCCTAAGTGGGAACCTGTGTCTCCTCACAGCCCACTCAGTGAGATTGTGTCTCCAGAAGAGAGAACACATTTCTGGGGAGAGAGCCTTAACCACAGGGGACATTTTTTCTCTCTGAGGAGTTGAATCACATATTTTAATTGAAAAAAGAAAGTGTTTCCTAGTTCCTTGATAAAGCAAATGAGTCTGAAATAAAACATTTCTAGAGAAGAAAGCTTTAGATATTTTCATCTTTTCACACTTGGTGAAAGGAATAAAATTAAGTGATGTATTTCAGTTAGAAGAACAAAGATCCAAACTGGAGAAAATGAGATGCAACAATGAGGGAAGGTGGTAAAAAATTTAAAGAATACATTTTTAGAATCTATGTTGTGACCCAGACACCTATATAATATTTGATGTCAACTGCATTGAAAAATAAAACTCATTTATAAAGAAGGAAATGATGTCACATGATCCAAGGATGTATCTGGAGGACAAGGGAAATAAACAAGTCATAAACAACAAAACAAAACAGAAACCACAGACACTTTTATCAACCTCATCAGAATTACAGCTAAACTACAGAAAAAGGTCATCCAGAACTTCCTGTAAACTAGGTGAACAGAAGTCCCACAACTAAGGGTGTAAAGAAGAAGCCACATTGAGACTCAGAGACATGCAAAGAGCTGGTCTCACATCCACGTGTGACAGACAGAAGTCATGAGGGAGAGTTCTGCTGCAGAGGTCCCCCCTGAGGATCCAGGGGTCCCAGCCCCACACAGAGCACCCCAGCCCAGGATTCCAGAGCCAAGGAAAAAAATTCTAATAACTTCTGGCTGTGAAAACCAATGGGGACTGTGGCTGAGTGAGACTAGGACTTCTGAAGTTCCAGGCAGTGCCCACCCCACCCAACTTGCAATCTTCACCAAGCTTTGTCCAGTGTGTTTTCCACACAAATGCCCTCTCTTTCCTCACACTTCAGACTTTTCTGAAACCTCTAAAATCAGTAGCACCCAAACCCTAATCAATATCCTTGTGAATGGTGCACAGGTACACATTTTCTCTAAGGCAGGTACTTAAAGGTAGAGCTGTGTGACTCTAACTGGGTAAGTGTAATGTATCCTCTTGGTTGGTAACTATAATTTGCCCTCCTACAAGTGATGCATTAGAATGCTATTGGCTCACTGTCCTCTCCCTCAGGGGGTAGTAGGATTGTTCTCTCGTCTGGATGCATTGGGACTGTGGCCTTGTACCTTTGTAGAAAATCTGTTACAACACTGAAGAAGAAATAATCCTTACACATAAAAGGGCAGGCCACTTAGGTGCACTCTGGGGCTGTCAGACTGGTGTGACTGGTGTCCCACACTGGCTTGTACTGTCTGTGAAAGTCAGTTTGTGAGTCACTTCCCGACTCTGCATCAGGGTCTCACAAGGGGCAACTCGAAGTTGGCCACAAAGGGACCATAGATATCAAAACATGGGAAAACACCAAGAACCAGTGTTTTATTAAGAGGAATTCATTGGGGTGACATTGGGTAATAAAATTAAGTATAAGTTTCAATGTACCATTCTCTAATACATCATCTGTATACTGCACTGTGTTTTTAACAGTAGGTTCTTCCCAGGCAGTGCAACCCAGGTGATCCCTCCAAACAAACACGTCCTGATTTCTCCCTGGTGTGGCTCCATTGGGTAGAGCATTGTCCCATAGCCAAAACTTTGTCCTATCCATTCCCAGTTAATACACATAACTAGATTGCAAGTTCAATCCCCTGTCCGTATGGACGTATGGGAGGTAACCAATCAATGTTCATTTTTCTCATCTGTGTTTCTGTTTCTCTGTTCTACCTCTCCAAAAAAAAACAATGTGATTATCGTCAGGTGTGGATAAAAAAAAGTCTTGACTCCATGTGAGGAGGTTCCTGGGAAAGTCCACAGGTGCCATCTGAGGAAAGGTGAAGACACATGGGGTCCAGAGGGGACAGTAGGGCATCATTTTGGATTTACCTCTTGTGGGTTGAATGTTTGTGATGCCAGCTCATGGATGTATTAAAATAGATTGCAGACTGTGCACTGAGTGGATGGGCACTTCATATGAACATCAAGGCAGGTGTAATGAGACATAAAGAAGAACATGTTTCTGAAAGTGCAGAGAGGTATGGACGTGACCATGCATGTGGGATAAATATTATTTTAGCCTAAATGAGAAACCTTGGGAACAGGTCACATGACTCAACAGCGGTCAGGAGAAGATGGGCTGAATTTAATGGCTGAAGGGTCTAGACCTTGTCCCTCTGCATATGACCAAGGACTCCTCCACCTGCAGTGAGCTGCAGACAGGTCACACAGCATGCCCCAGATTATCTTCCACAACCTTCTGGATAAAGACCTCATTTCCAAGGCTCTCCCACTCTGAACGGTGCTCCTTTACCTCTGTGTTCAGCTCCTGGTGGCAGCCTGGGCCATTCTCTCGCTGTCTCCAGTCTGAAACAGCAGCACCCCGAGGACCACCAGGACCAAGCCAACCAGGCCCATGCGAATGAGATTCCCCACTGTGTAGTCTTGGGGGTGGGAGGCTAGGAAATGTGGAGAAAGAGGTCACAGAGGTCACAGCAGACAAAGTCATCCCCAGATCCTGGATGCCCACCCAGCACATTTGTCTCCTCTTGACAGACAGGACCCTCTGCAACCAGCCCTATAACTGTGAATTGTACTCACCACTCATGTTGTCTGAGCTGTTGTGTGATGGGCTGATGGTGTCGGCTGCTCCTTCAAAACCGTAAAGAAGTGGGTGTGTGAGAAGTTGATACCACTCAAGCCATTTGTCCTCAAAACTCTCCCATTCCTCATGATGTGACTGCTCCCAGCCCCTTCTTGAGCCCTCTCTCGGCTATGAGGGTCCTGTCTGCTGTCATGGGCCCTGTCAGTCTCCCAGGGACTTCTGAGTGCAGACTTTCCTCCTGAGGCCCTTTGGGACATAGGTTGGCTTTTCCCTGAGAATTCAGGTTTCATGAAAAATGTGGTCTCTCATTACAGAACAGAGGACGTTCCTCTAATCTCCCTGCTCTCTGTGGAAGACTGAACCATCCAAACTCAATCTTCTGAAGCTGAGAGTGTATATTTATTCAGCAGCTGAAGACTAAGGGTCCATGGGTTACTCTCATCTATACACACAGACATGAACAGAGTACTCGAACAATTTTTGAGCTGTATGTATAAACAATTTTATTAAAAAAACTTGAAAATGTATCTGAAGTCTAAAACAACCCTTGTAAAAACACTTTTATTTTTTTACAACTTTCTTTTAATCTATCATTACTTTTCTCTTAAAAATATTCTATTTATTTATTTATTTATTTATTTTAGAAATGAAAAGAAGAGGGAGAGAAACATCAGTGTGTGGTTTCCTCTTGAGTGCCACCTATCGGAGACCTGACCCACAATCTAGAAATGTGCCCTGACATTGAATCGAACCAGCAACCATTTGATTTGTAGGCTGGCACTCACTCTACTGAGCCACACCACCAGGTTAAAAGGTTACCTTCATAATAAAGGGATGGATTTAACATAATCACAATGAAAATAAGAGTAGATTTACCTTTTAAAGTCAGAAATATTCATAACTTAAATGTATATATGGAAGCATTGCTTTAAATTTCTCAGAAAACATGCCATAAAATAGAGGTGTGGGCAGACATGTAGAGAGCAGACATGAATTTCACAGTGTATCTGGACAGGAATCTCCAGTTCCTCATGAGCCATCCACAGTCCCCAACCCCCAACCTGAGTCGCAGGTGAGCACTAAGTGCTAGAGGCATCCAGGTGAGCCAAGGGGCCTGCAGAGTGATGCCCACAGGTGACAGGTGGGGGCATTTCTCTCCATAGGAGAGTTTCAAAAGGGGACTCCACAATCCCCCACAGCAGCCACCTTGGCCTGAGCCACCTCTTGCCCTGCTCTGAGAGGGTTCAGGGACACCATACAGGTCGGCAGGTTCCACTAAGGGTCTGGAAATTAGGTGCCAAGGGAGAGTCCACCTGTACTCTTTCCAGCCCTCCTGGCCTCTCCTCTTCCATAGTCCAGCTATCTTCTCTGTATCATAAACCATACCTGGACACCTAATTCTGAAAACTGGCACCAATCTATGCAGGGGCCTAGGATTTTGGTGGAAAATCCCACAGATTCTATGTGGCAGCGGGAACAGTTGGCAGCCTCAATGATAATTTCCAAATCCTCACAGTCTCCTTGATATGAAGGCTTCTGCTTGCTAAGCTGAGTCCCCAGGCAGGGTGGACCTGCTCCCCCACATTCCTGTTTCCCTGAGTTGTTTCATGCATATAAGGTTCCAGTTAGTGGGACAAGCAGGACAGGCCCAGATAGGGTGGGACCAGAAGCAGGTGCCACTTTTTCAGGTGCCCAGAAAGTCAGAAATGAACATACCCCTGCAGTTCCTGGTGAGGCAGCTCCCCCTTACTCAGGTGGGGAAAGATCCTCAGAGCTCACCTCCCTGGGCAGGTGAGTCCGCACACACTCTGCCCTCTATCCTGTGAGTCTTGCCTGTGGCTTGTGCCTCTGGGGAGCACCTCTGCTCTGGTTCTGAGATGGAGACACCTAAGGCAGTGGGCTGGGACTCCATCCTGTGATTCCAGTCCACTCTCCCTTGCCTCTTGGCGTCACCATCCAGCAAGGTTGTGTCCTTCCCTTGCTCAGTACTGTCTGAGCCTGCAGGGTCAGGAGGTGTCACGAGTGGGACATGCCCACCTGCTTTCACCTCTCACAGGATGACCCTTCTCTGTAGAGCCACCTGGCATTCCCATCATTTCCATCATGCCTTACGCTTTCCTGGGGACAGTGCCCTTGAGTGACCTTGGAACTCAGACAGGACAAGGTCAGGGTCAGCTCTCCCAAGACCAGGAGCTGTGGGGCCAGAAACTGGATGACATCTTGACCCCAGGGGGCACAAGGAGCCTCTGGCCATTGTATGCCACCCATAGGCCGTAACCCCAGGTTGGATAGCAGAAGGTGGTGGCTGTCTTCTGCTGACATGAGCCGGGCTGCTCCTCTGTTCAGCTGGGTTCCTAACATCTTTCTCTGCCATAACCACCTCACCTGTCACCTGAAATCCTTCCCCTGGACAGGCGTCACTGGGCTGGGGTGAAGTGCAAACCATCAGAGACTCTGGAGCCCATGGTTCCCTGAAATCTCTACCTGGTAACACCCAGAGCTCCGAGACACAAGTATAATCTTGAATATCTGAGAGGCATTAGATCCTTAAAAAGACTCAATCTCCATGGCTAGTCTGTGTCTGTGGACAAGGAGCCCCTGTGCTCCCCTCACCCTACCCTTCACATGGGGGGTTCCCCTCCCAACAAATACCCCAATCACCTGTCTGGTGTCTCAAATCATGTATGGGACAAGAATGGGAACTCACCTAAGACCAGGAGCTCCAGGGCATCACTGGGTAGTGACCACAGCTGGGGTTTGCTCCTGTAATAACCATAGCATCTGAAAGTCCCATTCTGTCTGGGGATTACAGGGCCCACATGGAACAGGGCCTGGAACTGCCCATTGGGGTGTTGCTGTGAGTCCAGGGTCCAGGAGAGCCTTTCTTCTCCTTCCTTAGTCAGAACAAACTTGCCAAATCTCTCATCTGAGTGACATTTGAGAGTGACATTCCCTCCTGAGGTCACAGCAGGGCTGGGCAGGGCTGAGAGGCTGGGTTTGCTATAGACTCCTAGGAGAGAAGGAGGCAGTGTGTTAAATGGAGTCACACCTCCCTCACATCTCCCAGGACTGGGCTGTGAGGGGGAGACCCCCTGAGAGTGTCCTCCTTCCTGATGCTACAGCCTGAAGCTGAGAACCCTGAGTGTCCTCTCACCTGTCACCACCAGCTCCAGGGGGTCACTGTGCTCTGACCAGACATCTTGGCTGAGACAGTAACACTGGTATCTCCCTGCAGTGTGTTCTGTCATCTGTGTGATGGTGAACTTGGCCTTGTTCCTGGGATGCAGTGGCTTCTGCCTGTGCCAGGGCTTTGAGATTCCTTGTTTATCCAGACGGTACTCATTAACCTCCAGGATCCCTTGACACCAAATGGTTACTGAGCTCCCCCAGGGGATCACAGAACTTGGCTCAGCCCAGAGGGTGGGTTTGGGGATGTTCCCTGGAAGGAATCAGGGGCTGAGTCAGATTTCTGCCCCCAATACTCAGCTTTCAGCCCCCAACATCTCAGATTTCCTTCATCTGTCATTCCAGAAATGCTGTTCTTCTTCCCCTACTTCCCAACAAGTAGCCCCTGGTCCCTGGTGGGAATGACATCTGTGAGCCCTGGGGACACACTCACCTGCCGGCACTGGTGTCCTCAGGTCAATGCTCAGCCCTGCAAGAGAGTCCCTGTGAGAAATTTGCCCTGAATCCTGAGCAGATCCATCTTCCCCAGGAGACTCCCAACTCTGGGGGCCTGACAGAGCAGAGCTTCCCCTCTCTGCTCACATCTCACCAACGCAGAGCAGGGCCGTGAAGGTGGGGGACATGATGTCTCCTCTCTGAACCCAGCTGTGCAGAAGGAAGAGACCACGGCATCCTCAGTGTAGACAGACTCACAGGGTGTGGTCACTGGGAGGTTGGCCATCCCTGTCACGAGGTTGTCACGTCAGCAGCCCATCAGGAAGAAGGACAGTGTCTCTCTCCAGGAGTCTGGCTACCATTTTCTTGATGAGGGAAGTTATAGACCTGGAGCCTCCTGAGATGCCCCTCACAGGTGTGTTAATACAGGGCACAGGCTTTTAGGTCAGAGCCTCCACTACTGAGTCCCTTCACCCTCTGCCGGCTTTCAGCACCCCTTTGTGGTTCTTCTCCATGGACAGTGGTTACCCAGGCCCTGGAGATGCTTTAGGAAAATGAGGGATCCCTGTGCCTGCAGAGCTCAGCTCAGCAGAGACATGGTTTCCTCCTCACTGTGCAGTTTAGGCAAGTGTCACTGTGACAATGAGCACAAAGGACAGACACAGGGAAGTAAGGGAAGGACACATGCCCCTCCCCTGGTACCAGAGTGTGGTTTTCTTTCTATTGCAGCCACCCTCATAGACTTCTGGATTTTTCTTAGCAACAGCATCCACCCCACCTTCCTGGGGACAAGCTTCTGAGTGATGTCTGCCCCCTCGGTGTCCCTTATTTCCTAGTTCAAGCCTCCTCCTCATGCTGTGGTCCTGCCTTCAAGCTTCAGGGGACATTGATTTGGCTTAGAGTCCTCATTTTTACTTATAACAGATACTTATTTAAATAACCATTAACAATTGCCCATTGCATCTGTGTGCTAATGTCTTATCTCTGAGTCTCAGTTTCCTCATCTGAATTCTGTTGTCACAAACCCCAGTCCCCACAGTGGCTATGGTTCCATGGTGCTGGTTCACGGGGGGAGACTTCCATTTCCAGACCATATGAGGACGTGAGTGAGCTGGGACATAAGAGGATCAAGGTATCCAGGGTCAAGGCAAGACTGCTGGATTTTCGTGAGACCATGTCTTCTCTGAATACCAAGCCCAGCTACTCATAACAGCTCTAAAGTATGTAGGCACAGACAGGTGCAGGAAAGAGAAATGAAAGTTCCCCAAATGGAGAGGGAACCAGAGTGGAGAACAGAGAATGAAACTGATTGGCCCCCAGTGACTGGGACTATCCATGATTCATAGGGATGAGATCTCCTTAAGTGGACAGAGAGGGACCCCAGGACTTCACAGAAAGGGGGTAAAGGTGTAGGGGAAGGCTTCAGGTCTTGTCCCTGACCCATGTTTCTGTGCATGGTCTGGGATATCTCTGCCCACTCACCCAAGTTCATGGTCAGCAGTGAGCAGTCTACCCTTTTTGTCATGAAACAGAATGAGTCCAGGATGTCAGCCATGGGTGTCTGTCCCACGTGTGTGTGTGGGGTTCCCATTGGACCAGCTCTGGTGGGCAGAATGCTGAGCAGGTCCTGAGTCAAAGACAGTGGTCAACATTGGACAGCTGCTGTAGCCCCTGGTCAGCCTGACTCCCAGGACAGCCCTGGGGAATCTGTGGGACATCAGGTGTGTGAGGGGAGAGACTCCTACAAGAGTGGACAGTGGAGAAATCCTAATGATGACAGACAGTGCTGTGGACACCATCTACTGATACTCGGAGCTATCACACCCAGTGAAAGAGAGTCAGTAGGAAATATGAGAGCAATTTCAGATGATCACGTGCAAATATCTGAAAATTAATGGGAAGATTCTATTTTTGAGGCAATAATATGAATTGTTTTATACAGATGAATATAATGAGTCAGAAATCTTAGAGATGAGAAAATCCAATAGATAAACATGTGACAGTAATTCTTCTCACAAGGATGAGACAGAGGTGAAGGGTCATTTATGACAGTGGAGTACAATACAGAGGAAATGTCCAGAATGCAGCATAGGGAGACCAGAAAGTAGGGACTGAAGGTACTCAGGGACTAGAGTGAGGAGGGTGGATGTCTTATCTATGGTATTAGAAAGAAAGAAGTGAGTGTGACATTTAGAAACAGCTCAAGAGAAAAACATCAAACATTTTACTGAGATGAAGAAAGACCAATCTAGCCCTGGCTGGTGTAGCTCAATGGATTGAGCGCGGGCTGCAAACCAGGTATCGCAGGTTCAATTCCCAGTCAGGGCAGATGCCTGGGTTGCAGGCCATGACTCCCAGCAACTGCACATTGATGTTTCTCTCTCTCTCTCTCTCTCTCTCTCCCCCCCTCCCTCTCTCTAAAAAATAAATAGATAAAGTATTTTTTAAAAAGACCAATCTAGTGTTAGGGAGCAGGTATATAAAAATGAAATCTGTATCTTGACCTTTTGTGCTTAATGAAGATAATGAAGGTCAAATAAAAACACAGGACCATATCCTACACCTAATTTTACATGTCAAAAATGGTTAATTTGAGGCCCTGGCTGGGAGTTCACTGGGTTAGAGCATCATCCCAATATCCAAGGTTGTGGGCTTGGTCCTCAGTCAGGGCACACACAGCAAGCAACCAATGGACGTATCAGTAAGTGGAAAAAAATTGATGTTTCTCTCCCTCTCTCTCTCTCTCTCTCCCACCTCTCAAATGAATCAATAAAAAATATTTTTAAATGATTAATTTTATTTTAATGTGAATTTCAACTCAAAAAGAAAATCATGAAGGGCTGGCCTGGGGTCCTAAAAAGTCCTAAAATTACTTCATACAGGAAGTGCACATCAATATAGTGACAAGCTCCCTGGGACCAGACTTCCTCATAGCAAAGAGGACACCAAAACACTGTGGGGCACACCTTCCAGGAGCAAATTGTTAGTGAAGATTGTGCGCTAAACCCCATTAGCTTTAAGGGACAAGGTGAATGTGTCAGCCAGGTCAGTCCCTAAGTGGGAACCTGTGTCTCTTCACAACCCACCCAGGGAGATTGTGTCTCCAGAGGAGAGCACAGATTTCCGGACAGAGAGTCTTAACCACAGGGGATGCTTCTTTCTCTCTGAGGAGTTGAATCACACACTTTTATTGAAATAGTAAAGTTTTTCCTAGTTCTTTAATGAAGCAAGTGAGATTGAAATAAGGCATTTACAGAACAGCAAGTTTTTAAATATTTTCATATTTTCACACTCAGAGAAAGGATAAAATTCAGTGATATAACTCAGTTAGAAGAACAAAGACACCAAACTAGAGAAAGTGAGATGCAACAGAGAGGGAAAGTGGAAAAAATTATTTAAAAATATCACTGTACTGTCTATGTTGTGACCCAGACACATATATAATATTTGAAGCAAACTGTATTGAGAAATTAAACTGATTTAGAAAAGAAGGAAATGATGTCATATGCTACATGGATGCATCTGAAGGACAAGTGAAATAAACAATCACAAAAGAGCAAAACAATAACAACAACAACCCACAAACACTTTTTTCTTTTTTTCTTTTTTTAATTTTAATCATTGTTCAAGTACAGTTTTCTCCCTTTTACTCCCATTCCATCCCACCCACCCATCCCTCCCCACTTCCCTCCCATTACTACCCTCCTCCTAGCTTTTGTCCATGTGTCCTTTAAATTTGTTCCTATAAACCCTTCCCATTCTCCCCTGAAATTCCCTCTTCTCTCCCCTCTGGTCACTGTCAGCCTGTCCTCTATTTCAGTGTCTTTGAGTATATTTTGCTTGTTTCTTTGTTTTGTTAATTAGGTTCCTGTTAAAGCTGAGATCATATGGTATTTGTCTTTCACTGCCTGGCTTATTTCACTTAGCATAATGCTTTCCAGCTCCATCCAAGCTGTTGCAAAGGGTAGGAGCTCCTTCTTTCTTTCTGCTGCATAGAATTCCATTGTGTAAATGTACCATAGTTTTTTGGATCCATTCATTTACTGATGAGCATCTAGGTTGCTTCCAGCACCTAGCTATTGTAAATTGTGCTGCTATGAACATTAGGGTGCATGGGTTCTTTTTGATTGGTGTTTTAGTGTTCTTAGGATAAAGTCCCAGCAGTGGAATTGCTGGGTCAAAAGGCAGATCCATTTTTAGTTTTCTGAGGAAGTTCCATATTGCTTTTCATAGTGGTTGTACCAGTCTGCAGTCCCACCAACAATGCACTAGGGTCCCCTTTTCTCCACAACCTCTCCAACACTTGTTCTTTGTTGCTTTGTTTATGCTGAGCATTCTGACAGGTGTGAAGTGGTATCTCATTGTGGTTTTAATTTGCATCTCTCTGATAACTAGCAGTATTGAACATCTTTTCATGTGTCTTTGGATCCTCTGTATGTCCTCCTTGGAGAAGTGTCTGTTCAACTCCTTTGCCCATTTTTTTATTTGGGTTGCTTGTCTTCTTAGAGTGGAGTTGTGTAAGCTCTTTATATATTTTGAAGATTAAACCCTTGTCTGAGGTATCATTGGCAAATATTTTTTTCCATACAGTTGGTTTTCTTTTTATTTTGAAAAATACATTTTCTTTAGCTGTGCAGAAGCTTTTTATTTTGATGAGATCCCATTTGTTTATTCTTTCCTTTATGCCCCTTGCTCTAGGAGACATGTCAGTAAAAAAGTTTCTGCATGAAATATCTGAGATTTTCCTACCTACATTCTCCTCTAGGACTTTAATGGTGTCATGGTTTATATTTAAGTCTTTTATCCACCTTGAATTTATTTTTGTATAAGGTGTAAGTTGGTGCTCTAATTTCATTTTTTTTTTTGCATGTAACTGTCCAGTTCTCCCAATACCATTTGTTGAAGAGACTATTTTTACTCCATTTTATGTTGCTGCCTCCTTTGTCAAATATTAATTGACCATAGAGACTTGAGTTTATTTCTTGGCTGTCTGTTCTGTTCCATTGGTCCATGTGCCTGTTTTTATGCCAGTAGCAGGCTCTTTTGATTACAGTGGCCTTGTAGTATAGTTTAGTGTCAGGCATTGTGATCCCTTCTACGTTGCTCTTCTTCCTCAAAATTGCAGCAGCTATTTGGGGTCATTTATGGTTCCATAAAAATTTTTGAAGTGTTTGTTCTATGTCTGTGA